TAGCTAGTTAGACAGATGGATCGATAGATAGATAGATAGATAGATAGATGGATATACTTGGATCGCCCCGGGGGCTTAGATGACTTATAAGTTGACTTAGCGTTCACTTAGTTAAGTTACGATAAAGAGTATTCATAAGTCCATCCTAAGTCCATGCTAAGTCCACTAAATTCGAAGGGCGGGTTTTTGCTAACATTTTAGGTGAAGACAGAGGGGATCCCGTTTCATGGGTTTCTCATGTGTTAATTTCGATCTTTTTTCGGTTGTCAGAGCAGCAAAGCTACGGTTGCATCATCATTAGTTCGACTGTACATGGGTGAATTGGTGGCTTGCAAGGCTTCAGAGGGCAGAAACTGGGCGTTGTGGTGCTTTCGTTTCCAAACTGCAAAGGTTTCAGCACTGATGGGTCGCTTCGGTTCCATCACTAGGGAGCGAAGCAAAATACACAAACAGAAGCAGGGACGGCACAAATGCGAGAGAACCAAAAAGGTTGCGGAAATAACGATTCCTGCCCTGAGCCCGCGGACAAGGAAGTGGCTATCCGTCACCGCGGACAAGAGAAATTTGTTCAAAATGACAACATGATCGAAAACTTCATTAGATTACTCTAGCTTCCGCGGACACGCGGACAATCCCATCTCCCAGATCCACCGCGGATGCTCGCGGACCGCCGCGGACTTCCGCGGACTTTTCGCGGACGAGTGCCGAGTGTCCAATCTAAGAAGATATTTTCCATAGAGACCCCTCTACTGTGTTTCTACCTCATATGCTTTAGGTGTTCCGTCAACTGCTTCCTTCGAATATCGATATTAGTTTGGCAAGCTCTGAGCGCCAAGAAGAAACTTTTGAGCTGCTTTCAGCTGTCTCTCCAGCTGCGCTGCCATGATGGCAGCCAGTGAGGCCTACAAACCCTTGGGGTTGAGCCATACCACGGCAGAAAACAACTCTTGCTTCAGCAAGTTCAAATCCAAAAAGAAAAAAATGATCGTAAAAAACCTCTAACAACACACGTTAAAAAAAAGCTACGAAATTCACACCTTTTCATAAGTAAGCTAAGTCCAACCTAAGTCAAACCTAAGTTATGAACATAAAAAAACACTTTGAACTTATAAGTGAGCTATGTTCACGCTAAGTGAGCCTTTCCAACGCATGGACTTAGGTTGCACTTAGCCAGTTATCCAACTTATAAGTTCACTTCCAACTTCTTTACGCTAATTATAAACCAATTATAAGTAACCTAAGTCCCCAGGGAGATCCAAGTATAGATAGACAGATAGATAGATAGATAGATGGATAGATAGATAGATAGATAGATATGGAGATAGATATGGAGATAGATATGGATAGATAGGGATAGATAGATCAATAGATAAATAGATAGATAGACAGATAGATAGGTAGATAGACAGATGGATAGATAGATGGATGGATAGATAGATGGATAAATAGATAGATAGAGATAGATAGATAGATAGATAGATAGATAGATCGATAGATGGATAGATAGATAGATAGATAGATAGTCAGAGAAAGAGAGAAATAAAGAGAGAAAGAGAGGAGACATCAATCACCTTTCGATCCATCAGTGGCTTCGCTCTGCATCCGTGATTCACAACAACCAACCTCTCCTATAGGTTTCCTATTTTTGAAACTTCCGCCACCGCCTTGTGCGGTACTACTGGTAACTAGCTGATGAAGAATGAATGTCCATGTAAAACTAAGGCTATGATCCTGACATGGTGATTAGGCCGGGCTGAAGTCACAGGCGAAAAGCGGATTCTGTCACTTTAATCAACCCCCGACAAGAATCCCGCCGGTTAGAAGAACCGATCCCAATAGGTTTCAGTGTCAGAACTGTTCCGCCCAGAGTTTCTTGCGTCGACATCGAGAAAGTTACCAAAGATGTGACGGATTTGCATCGCACATTTCTCACATTGCCAACGCTTTCCCAACCATAAACCCCTTTGGCAACCCCCAGGAGGACTTCCCACTGCTCGGTCGGACGCCTCCGCAGATGTGGGTGGAAGCAGGAATGCGACAGGCCTTGTGTGCGTGGCCGGTCTGCTGGTCGTGGTCCTAGGGGAAGTTGGGATTGGGGGGTTTGGCACCAAAACATGGAAGATTTACCCCCGTATATGGCAATATTCGGTATGAACCATTTCACAGCTAATTTGGGGTTCAACAGGGTGGGTATTGACGGTATTGACCCATAGCATCCCATAGCCATCAGGTTTTAAGCCATTAGTCCCCATTGGAATTGGGAGCACCTCATTTTCAGACGGTTGCAAAGCTGGATGTCAGGCATTGGGGTTTGTTCATGCTGGATGGTCAGCAATGCACAACCGGTAAGTCCCCCAACTAATACTTAACGAAGTGAGGGGAGAGAGAGAGAGAGTAAAAAACTGTACGCAGGCACTCATGGAAATTATAGAGTGAGACTTGTCAAGATTCCGCTCTCCTCAGCCCCTAGACAGCATCCGAAACAAACTGCAGGCAAGAGTTCTGAAATCAACCCGCCATCGCAAAGGTGTTCGCGCATCGTCAACTGCGAAGTAGCCGAGACTTGGATGAAAGTCACGTAAGCAAATAACCTCGCACGCGGTTCCTTTGTTGATGGCTGGGCCCATTCCGTTTTGAATATTTTGGACAGTGGCCCTGTCAACAGTGTCATCTATAGACATCTACATTTTGAGAGAACGAGAGAAACTTCATGCACCTCATTGGGCCTGCAATGTTCCATGCAAGTTCCTTTGTGTTGAACAGCTAGTTACTTGGTTTCTTGGCATTTGAGGAAGCGCGGAAGGCAAGATTAACAACAAGATCACGCCAGAAGTGTGGGAAGCTCAGCCAACCCTTTTGATTTTTTTGGAGATGCCCTACGTGAAGGTGACACTGCAAGAAATTGGACAGACAGGTAGGTTGCAAATTTCTTTTGGTTTTCAAACCGTTTTTTTAGGATAATATATATAATATGTGGTTTCACTGCCTTGAACATGTCATGAAAATGGGAGATGATGATCGGTTTCCGAGGCCGAAGGTGGTGACCAAAGAGGACCACTGCGTTTGCGGAATTGGAGTTGGCTGAGATAGACCGGTGGTGAGATGCTTGCCGGTTTATTAACGCAAACCTCAAACTAGTAAGTCATTCTCATGACTAATAACATGATTGTGTGTGCAACTTGGTTAAGGAAATCATTGGCAATAACAATGTCCAAGAAAATCATCAATCAATGAGCGACTTTCCATTGCAGCGATTCACTGGACCTGAGGCTGGTCTCGGTCCTTTGTGAAAGTTGGTTTGGTTTCTTCAACCAGCTGCACCTTGAAATCTGTGAGCATTTGCCAAACTGCCAATCATTCAAGAAACTGAAGAGTAAGTAGCTACTAAGTAATGCTAAGTAGCTGTCTTTGTGGGAGCTTGCATGCTCCCAGTCTAGGATTGATTGCCCCAGTGCCCCAGTGACTTGCTCCGGCAGGACCTCAAGGCAGGTGACAAGAAGGTTTACTGCCGATGCTGGCTCTCCGGCACCTTTCCCCTTTGCGCCCCTTGGTTGGGAAACTTGGGAAACAGCTGATGCATATACCTTGGGTGTAACATTTGATTTACCAATTTGATGCAGTAGGACATGGACATGATGCCTAAGCCTTTCAGTGGATGACTGAATTCATCAGGTCCTAGTATGTACTAGTAGCATAGGTAGCCGCAGAAATGTAATCGAAAATAATCCAAACGATGCCTTGAAAGGACATGGGCCAAAGTATTTTCAGGATGAGTTGGAACAGCAGGTCACCAGAGTTTGAATATGTTACCTCTATTGGCCTTGCGGTGATGTTACCTGGTTTTCCTCCAGTTAGATCCAAGGATGGCACGCATGCCAAGCACAATGAGGAGACCGGAGACAACGCCGCCTGGCAGTCGCCTATATCTTGTGGCTCATGTTTGTAAGTTCCCCTGCATCAGTTATCATACGTACACTCTTCACCATGTGGTACATGGCGAGGAATCATGGTCATCTACAGTAAGTGGCAAGTCAGAACTGATAATTACTAAGGACAAGGAAAGCAGAAGTCTGAATTTTCTAATCATTTATGCTAGCTGGAAGAGCATGACACCCAGTTTCGCTACATTGTGATGCACAGGTCGGACCATTGATTGTGGGTGTCAAGAAGGGCGACTAAACAAAGGCGGCAACTTGCTTGCAATGGACTGTTGGGTGGTGCAAATGCCGTGCACACAAATGAGCCTTCGGTGAGTTAAACTTCTCCTTTCAATGAGCAATTTCTATCCCAATCCATCCTGCGGGGTATAGTGCCACTTGCCAGCATTGGTTTGAAATTAGATAAGTACACTTAGAAATGATTAGAATGATTAATTATATATATATATATATACAGTATAGATAGGATTAGATAGGGAGAAATAATGCCACACCACACACACACATATATATATAATTATATGATATTATACACTATATATATATATATATACATATGTATATTACATATACACACAACAACTCGTCGGGAATGAGATGGTCGCTTCCCAGATCCTTCCGACCCGAGGTTTGAGTTTGGATGGTAGTTTTCGCCCCGCCTTGTGGCGGAAGGCAAAAGAGCTGCTTGATGCGTCCGCAAGTGGCATGTTTGGCTCACAAGTTCTTATGGAAAAAACATTTTGAAATAGATTTACTAATATTCACTATATAAAGTGATTTAAGATTATATATAAATGAAACTTGATTTTTCTCTGGGCAGATTTGATTGCCAGAGGGTAAGCACTAGTTCATGGGATTATGTGTTACGGGCTAGTAGTGAGAGACTGCAGCAAGAGATGTAAGGTGTTCGTCAGATTGCTCGGCACTGCATCGAGCTTTGCCGGACTCCACCCCAATCGCGGCGATGGTGTTCGGCAGTGATTGCAACTTTAGCTAGGCAAAAGTTCCGACCGAGCACAAAGATGAACTAGGAATTATAATTACGCGAACATGTGCTCGGGATGAATCGGAGCTAACTCTAGGCCGTCACTGAATCAACATTCCCAGATTGATGTACTGGGCAGAAGTGCTTTTGTTTTCTGTTTCTAGGCTTGGAGTTGTGCTTCTCGTTTGTGGATGTCCCTGGATGGCATTGAAATTCTTTCCCGTCCAGCAGCTTTGAAGTCGAGGGATTCATCCGCCGTGCTATTCCCATTGCCACCATTCGTCGCTTTTGTGCCATGTCGAAGAAGGTCGGAGATGCGGCACACGATTGGTGAAGGGGTCCCTCAAGTCAGCCAGATGCGCGTGCAGACAGCCGAATCTTGCTGAACAGCCCACCATTCATGATTCCTTAGGATTCTTCCAGTTGGCTGTTTTTATTTATGGATGCCGTTCCAGTTTGCGGTCATTGGAGTTTGTTTGAGAATAGGGCACCGAATTCCACTCCAACGGAGTGCAATGTACGTGCCTTTGTCGCCCCTCAGTTAGGCTCAGGCAAACTTTATTTGAAAACGATGGATAGAGAGAGAGAGAGGGATCCCATCCACTGGTAAATCCGTTCATTATCATCATCTTCCCATAGTTTCCCAATGCTTCCCATATTTTCAATGGTCAATGGCAATGTTTCCCCACTTATGACCCATGCCCCGGTGCGCCCCGGTGCCAGGCCACCCTGATCTTCTCTCGCCACGGTGAGTCTGAATGGAACGTGGCCAACATTTTCACAGGCTGAGCCTCCACCCTGCCCCAAAAATGTGGATATCCAAAGAAAATGCCGTTTGAATGATGAAGGTATGGAGAAACTTACCATCAATCGTGGGATTTAGGGGTGCCCGATTTTCAGAATGAAACTGTCCGATTTTTATCGCATCATGTACAGAAAGGACCAAGATGCCTTGAGAATCTGTGAAGAGAGGAGAACAAACAAGACGTTGAGAAAGAACATGTAGTGAACATCGCATTGAGCAAAACTGTCGTCTGAGCCGTGCAGATTCCCAGGCTGGGTGGATGTGGACTTGTCCGAGAAGGGTCTTGGTGAAGCAAAGGGCGCCGGAGAGTTGTTGAAGGCTGAGCCTTGTCCTGAATTCTGCACAGGAAGCTGGAGGCAGGTAGAAACCATCGCACAGCATGTGTACACGGATATTATAGACCTAATTATATATACACACACACACTTATACATATATGATTCTATAATATATTTTTACAATTATTTACAATATCATTTAAAGATTCAGTCTACGGATATTTAGGAGAGGAGCTCGAAACACGGGGAAGCTGCTCATCTGTCTAGGTATTTAGGTGTAGTGAGTCAGACCCAACCTGTTTTGAGGGGTCCCAGAATGGTGTTATTGGCATGCAGTCAGCTAAAGTTCCAGCCACAACGCACCCTTTCAAACCTTTTCATCTCCATTTAAAGTTCCATTGGCATGCAGTCATCTCCATTTTGCATCAAGAAACCGAGGAGCGACTTGTCCTGAACCCTGCAATTTCGATTGATACGGTAATTGCCAATTGCATGTAATTGCGCGTTATTTATGCGTCACACCAAGGAGGGATTGAAGATCGATGTGGCCTTCACCTCATACTTGAAGAGGGCCATCAAGTACCTCGACATAAGACATCTCTGCACTCGTGCGGTGTTGCTAAAGAAGAAACTGACCGAGCCGTCCTTTGTGCAGAGCATGTCCCAACCAAGACAACAGAAATACCGCAGAAAATTTCGCATCAGTGCACACGTCACATAGTGGGATCAGCTATTTATTATATAATTCTCAGCGAATGTTTCCAAGCGCGATAATATCGAGGTACTTTGAGCTCTCAGCCTTCAAAAAACAGAAATTTTACATTTATGTCCATTCCTTGGTGGATTTAGACGAGAAACTCACCTCCAGACTCCATCATACTCCATCTTTGTGTTCGTTGGGCCATGTCAGACCCGAGGACCTGCAACTTGGCCCTGGAAGCCGCAGATCAGCTCTACGTTCCGACCAACAAGTCCTGGCGCCTCAACGAACGTATGTATGGCGGCCTCACGGGCTTAGACAAGAAGGCCATGGGATGGCCATGGGATGGCCATGGGATGGCCATGGGGCGGGGTACATGCTGGGTATACCTGGTGACTTTTGGATGAATTTGATGGAGGCTACGGAGAGTTTGATGGTTGTTGTGTAGTACGTGAAGGTTGGCATCAGCCGTGGGTTATGGTTTGCAGGTGATGTTCATCTTGGTTCATGGTGAATGAAATGTAAGGAACAAAATTTGTATAAATTTGTTGCATATATAGCTGCTTCCCTCCAGAAGAGGAAAGACTTGTCATGACGAGGGGGAGGGATTATCTCGTCTTCCCAATCTGTGTTCATTATACAAATGTTGATTGCTCAAACTTCTAATTTGCTCATTTCCATGTTCATTGCTTATACTCCAATTTGTTCTTGCTAATATTTCCCGTGTTGGTTTCTTAAAGATATAATCATTTAAAGTGCTCACATTCAACTTGACTCTATACTAAATTACCATTGCCCAAGTTTAAACTGTTTTACGCTGGTTAATTGTACCATTTTGGTTGGGTACATCCACACCCAATGATAGATAATGATAGAACCCCTCGATCCCCCCGGAGCTTCCGGCAGGAGACCGTGGTGAAGCACGGCGCGGAGCAGGTGCAGATCTGGCGCCGCAGCTTTGACATTCCTCCACCAGCCTTGGAAAAGGAGCCGATCGGGGTCCAGTTGGGGGGGTCACTGGTGGGAAAAGTGATACGTTGTTCCATGGTTGATCCTGGGGAATATGTTGACATTTGGATGAATTATGGATGAATATAGGGTTTGAATGTGTATTGCCAAGCAAATCTAGCTAATTTCTTCTTTCTGGGTATCTAAGATTATCCATTGTAGAGATTGGTGGTATGAAGCGGCCTTGCTTTGCCATGTGGATAAGTGAGATGGGATTCCAAGAATGGTGGGGCCCAAACTTGCAAAATCTGACCGGATCCTTTTGGTCAGAGAGACAACATCGGTCCTTCATGTCTTTGCCACACAGAGAGGACAACAAATACCATCCATGCCATGAAGCCAAGTGCCTCAGCTACATTAGCCGCTCCTGGGCAGTTTCTGATGTGTCAAGAGCTAAGGTACAAGGCGTTGGACCCCAAGGATCTCCCCGACACGGAGCCCGACAGGGGCCGCCTGAAACCGGGGTTTCCTATGGCTTTGAAGCCACGGCCATTCATAGGTCATCAAGAGTCCAAGTCTGTTGATAGGTTGGTCCCCAAGATAGTGATAATTCCAATTAGGAATGGTGCTTACCTCTATATAATGAGTAAACTGGCAGTTTCTTGAGCCAGGTTTGACATCAAGACATCAATGCCCGGCATCTTTGATGTGCTCCAGGAGTGCCTGAAGGACACGATTGCCAGGGTCATGCCCTACTGGGAGGAGGCCATTGTGCCCGAATTGAAGGCACCCGGGGGTGGGGATGGAGCCAGTTGGATGATATTGGCAGACTTGAGGAGGCGGTTCTCATCACAGCCACTGTTCCATTCCCGCACCACAGGCTGGAAAGACCGTGTTTGTCGCAGCCCATGGCAATTCTATTCGGGCCATTGTGAAGATGATCGAGGGCATTTCCGATGATGTCATCCCGGGATTGGAGATTCCCACTGGCGCCCTGATGGAAGCCTCCTTGGGGTTGACAGGGGCTGCATGGTATTGTAGATCTATGGGCAGTTTTGTCACGCGAGTTGGTTTGGTTCATTTTGTTGTTTCCTGGTGGGCCTTAAAGGTCTGCGATGGTTGTTGGATGACGATCCTTCCAGTGCAGTGACTTCCAGTCGATCACTGCTTGTAAGTGTAAAATCTTGTGCCTTATGGACGCTGACATTTTGGCAACAACTCTCGTTACCTGGAACTGCCGGATGCCGAGTTGTTGGGGAACCCCCATAAGTTTTGTCGCTTTATGTTGTTTTCCCCATCCATACTCCACATGACTTTCGAGGATGGGGTAGAACCAGCGCCAGCACCCAGATTCTGCCGCCAACTCATCCACCCCATACATCCCCATACCGATCTACTGGGGATCCAGGCACCCCATTGGTTTACGAATTGGACGGGGACCTCAAGCCTATTGCCAGCCCTTTGGCTGTCGAGCCCCTGAAGTTTCTTGGCAGAGCTGAGTGGGGATCATGAGCCAACAGCTACTGATCGATGGGGAGATCATGTTTGCATACCAACGCAATTAAAGGTCTTGTAGATCAAATGATGTGCATGGGTTGGGTGCCCTTTTTCGACAAGGTGGGTCAAAGTTGAAGAAATCACATGTTTGCACATGAACCTCCTGAAAACGAATGTGAATTTCTATTTGGGAATTTTCATTCTTGATATTCTTGGAGTCTAATTTTAAAATTTCTGGAGGTTGCAGTAGGCCCTCATTATCCCTCGTTCATGTTGGTCCATCCAGATAGTCTTGTTGATTATGCGCTATCCGCTATCCATTTCGAAAGTCGTTTTAGTGGATCCTTCATTTTCCTTTTCTTCCTACAGCATCTACAACATTTTTGTTGGGTCAAACTATCCTCAGATATCAGATATCATAGATCCAAAGCATCATTCTCAAATTTTGATACTTCATTTGCCATGTTTTGCCATGTTTCGTGGATCCTACCCCAGCCCAACCCAATGGGCTCGGGCACACCTCCTTGTGGCGTGGCGCAGCTCCCAGGTTCGGCCGCTACCTGGGAGATGCCGAGAAGATCAAGGCGGCTGCCGAGGCGGTGAAGAACCAGACCAAGGTGACCTGATCAACATACTGTGGATGGAAGAAATCCTGCACCAGTTGATAGATGGTTTATCCCATTATTTATAGGGTTTTAACCATCAACATATGGATGTGGGTCAAAATGGAAAACCTAGGGGACCACAGCTGGAAATGTCTAGTTTAGTATTAACCATCCATAATTTTGGGGTACCTAATTTTGACCCATACCCATATGGGGGGGGTTTAAAGATTTTAAAGGTCCCCCAACATATGCTTCATGGAAAATCATGGAAAAGCCGATGAACATTTGGATATATTTAAGGATGATAATTGGGAATAGCCCCATTTTAGGAAAGCTTCATACTGTAGGTGACAGAAATCCCGCACCAGTTGTTAGATGATGTAGCTGGTTATCCAGTGATAATTCCATTATTGACACTGTTTCGTAGTTACTAAATAAGAAAGCTAGCGGTAGCTAGCTGGAGTTACTCTTGCTTCAGCAAGGGGGGGCAGGTCTGAGTCCAACACAGTGATTTTTCACTCGAAAGGTCACGGGCTCGAATCCTGCCAGGTCTCTAGGCAATCTGTATTCAGCATATCAAAATCCCATCAAATTCCCATCATATATAGTATCAGTTTGTAAATAAACGGAATATACAATCAGAAAAGTTACCGTATGTTATGGGTGGTACCATATGGATCCACATGGTACAAATTCATGATAAACCGTGGGATTTGGGGGTGCCCTAGTTCCAGAATGTTCCAGACAAACCTAAATGGGGATATGATATGATGGGATATACATGTACACATGTACATGGACATAAATCATCATAAATCCACCTCATAAATTACCACCCCATTTGATTCTCATGGGATTTTCGGGTGCTCCATTGTTTGATGATTAACAATGATCACGAAAGGTAGCTCCAGAGGGGCTACCTTGAGTTTCACTTTACGAAGTAAAGGGGAGGGCGGCCAGCCCCGTTACCTGATTCTTCAGGAGATTGCTAGTCATTTTAGTACCCCCCCTCCCCACCCCCCCCTCCACACCTCCCACGCACCCTAAGAGCAGACTCAAAACATTGTAATTTACAGTATTTTTGTTCTTTTCGGATCAAGAAACCACATTTTGCTACATGGTGAAACCTCCGTAAATACCAGTGTTTTTGCCAGGTGCTGGCCAAAAAACACTGTAAATACCGTGCTTTTTACTCCCAGAGGCAAAAAACATCGTAAATACCGTGGTTTTGGGCTTCCGACCCGCCAAAAACATTGGTATTTACGGTGTTTTTTGCTCCGAGAGTTGCAAAAACACGCGAAAACAACACCGATTTGACGATTTTCGGCCACTACGGAACCGAGCAAAAACGCTGCAGGGGTAACACCAACACCAACAACAACAACACCAACAGCAACAGCAACAGCAACAACAACAACGACGACCACAACAACAACAACAACACCAACACACAACGCACAATGCACAATGCACAACGCACAACGCACAATGCACAACGCACAACGCACAACGCACAACGCACAACACACAACACACAAAACACACAACACACACACAACACACAACACACACAACACACACAACAACACACAACAACACACAACAACACACAACAACACACAACAACACACAACAACACACAACAACACACAACAACACACAACAACACACAACAACACACAACAACACACAACAACACACAACAACACACAACAACACCCAACAACACACAACAACACCCAACAACACACAACAACACACAACAACACACAACAACACACAACAACACACAACAACACACAACAACACACAACAACACACAACAACGCACAACAACACACAACAACACACAACAACACACAACAACACACAACAACACACAACAACACACAACAACACACAACAACACACAACAACACACACAACAACACACAACAACACACAACAACACACAACAACACACAACAACACACAACAACACACAACAACACACAACAACACACAACAACACACACCAACACACAACAACACACAACACACACACAACACACAACAACACACAACACACAACAACACACAACAACACACAACAACACACAACAACACACAACAACACACAACAACACACAACAACACACAACAACACACAACAACACACAACAACACACAACAACACACAACAACACACAACAACAACAACAACAACAACAACAACATCAACAACAACAACAACACCATCAACAGCAGCAGCAGCAACAACAGCAACAGCAACAGCAACAACAACAACAACAACACGAACACGAACAATACCAACACCAACAACACGACCAACAACACCAACACCACCAACAAACCCAACCACACCAACAACACTAACAACACTAACAACACCAGAAACACTACCACCACCAACAACACCAACAACAACAATACCAACAACACCAACAACACCAACACCACCAGCACCACCAACACCACCAACACCACAACCACCACCAACCCCAACCACATCGCCGAAGCCTTTCAGTCGCTTTTACCAGACTCCCCTTCATATTTTTGGAAAGAAAATGGCCGCGTCGCTTTTACCAGACTCCACTTTATGTATTTTTCCCTCCCCTCTCCCCTTCATTTTTTCTTCGGTTCCTTTCTTGCTTACCTACCTTTCGTGTTCCCCCTCTCAAGTTAACATTAACGGGGTACCCCCAAACCCCAAGTCTAATCAACATGTTCCCCCTCAAAATGGCTGTATTTGAGGTATCCACCACTTTTGGTCACCCGTAAAAAATACTGGGATACCAAGCGATAAACTTTTGGATAAGCATGGGACCTCAATCACAGAAAATGAGCATGTTTTGTGTTGGATAGTGAAGCAAAAATGGAACCACCCCCGTGTCAAAAGCAATAATTAAATGATGATAAAGAGGAGATGTTCATCACTATATAAATGTCATCCACGATGTGTCAACCCAATTCTGGGCCTGAGAGGCAAACAGTCGCCGATGTATATACCCTTTGGTATTTGGACATCCCAATGGATAATTAGTTGCAGTTGTGATTTTTATGGGTAGATTTTATTGAAAACTGGAATTTCTTATTGTCGTCATGTTTCAGTACCAGATGCCTGATGTGTTTTTTCATACTAAGGTGGGATGAGTTCCATGCTCGGAGAGGAACTCCCGCAAACGCCTGCCACAGCGAGAAATCTTGCAGTGCTTGGTCGGTGAGGGCTCAAAGAGTGAATCAATGTCTTCTAGGGTGAACAGGAGTTCCATTTTCTTATGAATCAGGAATGAGTGGTTTCGCCAATTTATTATGATGATTATGTGTTTTGTTCCAATCAAATTATTGGTGGATGTTGATTCCCAACCATGCCCCAATCCGTTCAAAACAATCATTTTGGCACAGTCTAGTCTTAGGTCTCCCGGACGGATGGCGTTGGCCCGCCGGCCCGCCATATTTTCCAGACCTAGAGACGCCAGTGCAGAGTGGGTGAAAGCTGCGCGGGTCATCATGGACACCAGTGGCCAAAATAATGCATGTTTCTATCGCAAACACTAGCAAACCAATTTTTTGCCCGAAGTATCCTGGGGTACGCCTGCACATTTTCCTTTTTAAACGAGCGTCAATATGTAGTATATATATATGTGTGTGTGTTTATTTATTTGTTTGTATATATATATATAGTTATTTTTATTTGTTTATTTATTTATTGTTTATACATACATGTAAAATCAAAATAGTGAATTATTGTTTTGGCTCATCCTATCTATGTACAACAGGAGGCTTTCTCAGAGCTGTAGGTAGCTGTGACACTCTTCATGAGACAACCAGGCAGATCCATCTCTCTCACTGTCAAGTGAATGAAGATTTGGATGTGAAATAAGGGGGAGAATGCTTAACCAGATTGGAAGATAAGATTGTATACGGATAGGATTTAGATGTATATAGAGCTATATAGTACACACTAATTTCACCAGATCCAAGCCCAGCTAGTTATTTGGGTCCAATTTGAATGCCATGACTGGCACAATCGACAGTGCCTGTCCAGCTTTTGTGGCGCTCAAAGACATGGAGCACAAGGAGATCCATACTGAAAATCACCAGGTCGGAGCAATTGAATGTTGATTTGGAGCCGATGCGATTACGAGCACATCCAAATCCATAGATATAACATATATCGCACATCATGTTTCCCCAACACCAGTTGCCTCGCTGAAACTTAAGATGCCTAAAGCCACCCAGTCTGAGTCTCAATAAACAACTCATCCACAAGATGGGGCAGGCCTCCAACCATGGAATTTTCCCCCTAACCACATAGACCTAGATGTAAAATCATCGAATCTAAAAAGCATCTAAAAGCTATTTGGGGCCCTAGCTTGAGCTAAGTTTTAGAAACTAACAGACATATCCAGACATCCAAGACTTCCGAAAGCGCCCAACTTGGCACAGCCCACCATCACCTCGATGCGTTGATACGCCACGCGCCATGGAGACGGCCCGATGGCCCAGAAGACGCTGGGATTTGGTGGCCAGCTGTGTGGCGGCCACTTGGAGGATTGAAGAAATGCATAGAAATGCGGTGAACCATGGTGAACCGGTGAACCCTAAGAATTTGATCTCCTGAAGGGCTAACTGAGTGCTGAGGCTATTGCATTTGAACGAAATATATATATACGTGTGTGTGTGTGTTTGCTATAGCTGCGGGCAGTCCTTTTTCTCACCTGTACAGTTGCCAGGAAGGCGTAGATTGTTAGATTACTTGTTTTGTCCATATAGTTGTGTCTAGCACAAGGTCTTCCAGTTTGTCTTGGATTTGACAGCATTTGATGGGAGCGGCGGGTGATGGAAGTGGGTGGAAGTAGATGCAAGATGGAGGTCAAAGTTGCAAGGCCAATGCAAGGGTTGAACACCTGCAGGGTCTTCATTGCGTCATTCAGAGTGGTCTTGCTTGACATGGCACATGGACGAATGAAGACTGGTGTCATTTTTTTTCCCTTCATTTCACCCGAGATTGCCCAGATAAATTTGAATGCAAATTGACGGCCTGCGGCATGACCTTCTTACATCATAGAAGCTGTTTGTCATGCAATAACTTCAAAGACACGTGCCCCTTTTCACAGCTTTTCAGGTGAATTTGGCAGCAGGATGCACGTGACCTGGCAGAACCAATGTAAAGGCAGCTTGCAACAACTGCCTATGCCAAACAGAGTAGGTTTGAGTCAAAAGCTATAGCATATGACCATTATATGACCTGAAAGCTGGGAAAAGTTGCAGAAGGAAACGCCAAAGTCCTGAGCCAAAGGGTCATTATTCTAGCTGTCAGCATCATGGTATATTACATGATGTTACAGGATGCTCCTTGTCAGCCCCCAGGTATGATTACAGCGTGTACAGCCCTGTGGTCAAAGAAACATACAACCTCACCCAGCGAGAGACGAATTTGGTCTTGGGCTTAGTTACCTTAGATGGCAGGAGAACCAAGGTGTGTGCATCATGTGGGATCCAACTTGGGCCGGCACATGTTGTCACGAATTGATGGTCAGCTTTTGGTGACTGAAAGTCCATCACGTGGTATGCCGGCAGGTCATGAACTTCGGATTTTTCATTTATGCTCTTGGCTCCTACGGCTATGGCATTTGTGGCTTGGGCTGCTGAATGTTCGGGTGGCACGTTTCCGGTGGCACCCTGAGAAATGCATCCACAAATGGCCAGGTGTTTAATGATGTTTAATGTGCATTTACCTATCTGTTTTTCAAGCTGCACAACTTCACGAACTGCGTCAGTACATGTGTTTATTTATTTACTGTATTCATTTGTTTATTTCTTGACACTCTTTAACATCGTTTAACATGCACTTTTGTGTGTGCGTCTTTTCCAACTCTCATACCAGTATGCATTCTCATCAAAAATAGTTTCAGAATGTTACATAGTTACATGTATGTATATATATATACACTATATGAGAGAGATAGATATATATATATATATATATACTGTATACATAGTTTTTCATTACCCTTTCCAGGGTACCATCCCAGTGGACAGCTGGTCCAGGCAATCAACACTTTGGTCCTCAAAGATCTCCACGCATCGGATGTGGCGTCATGTGGCTTGGTGTGAATGGGAAAGAGCCACCAACATAACCAACATCCAGGCCAGGAGATTTACAAGAAAAATGCTAGACAAAATAAATTCCTCAATATCTCGCCTGATTTGATTCAATGCTGATGTGTCCCATTCAAATTGTAATTTTGGGTTTGCCCCATTTCTGCCCGAGCTCATCGGTTTAAAGTTCAGAGTTGAGGAGGTGGCAAGTGGCAATCTAGGGTGTCAATGTCTCAGAGCTCCCCACTCCAAGTGGAACTTGCGGCTAGGCTCTTCTGCTATGCCATCTTGGTCTTGAATTTGTTACAGCCAGTTGTGCCAGGCCGGGTTCAGGGCGCAGGGTTGGCCACTGCAATGAGACGAAGGTCCGTTGGTTTCTTGTAATTTGGGAGTGTATTGAAAACGTTGGCTGCCCTGCTGAAAGAGGAAGCAACAAAGGCTGGTTCAGTCTTTGGACCAACACATAGAACCCACATTTGTACGTATATATACATTGTTTCCCGCAAAAAAAATCAAGATGCATGGTTGCAGACGATAAGGTTCACCTAAAGATTTGGCTCCTTAGGAAATGGTAGGGCTGGCTGGCCATCAAAAGTACACGAATGTATTTTTAAATTTGGACCATGATTCATGGCTGCCTTACCGATAAGCTAATTTCACGTGGCATAGCCTTTTTGCCTTGTAGTTTGTGTGTTGAGAGCTCAGACACGAGACATCAAGATAGTCAAAAAGAAGCTGACCAGGCTTTCCTTGAGCTGCTGCACATACCCATGCACAGTCACTATGATAACGCCTGGGGAAGAATGGATCTCATGATTGGATGACCAAAAAGATCCACTTGATTCCCAGAAGTGGTGAAAAGACAGCTCGCAGGGAATCCATTATATTCTAAATCTATTTAAGCATAATAAGCATGGTTTAACCTGCAGATCCTTGAAACCCATGAGGCGTTGCAGGCGCTGTGCTGATGTCGCTGATGATCGGAATTGGTTGGGCTGGACAGGCCACCAGTTTAGGTTGTGGATACCAGCGCGTTGCCTGGCGTCGACCTGGGAGGTGAGTAACGCTTTTTGTGTCAAAGGCCATGGCAGTGCTAGTTTGTATCCCTAGATCAGCTAGAGAACCACTATCAAAGAATGCTAGGTCCTTTACTTGGGCCTCAACATTGTGTTTAGCACTGGGCAAGCTCAGGTTTGCCAAGTCTTCCCAGAGTCTGGCGGAATCGCAATAGGCCAGTGGGCACCTGAAAGTGGGCCAAGGTTTTTCCCTAAACCACCTTGGCGTATAGCGGGTATAGGAAAGCCAGCTGAACGTGTCAAAAACACCAAATGTTTGCAAAGTCAAGAGCACCAAGTAGCGTAAATCCCCAGCCCGGTGGATCCTCAACACCGCTATGATCCACCGGCCAGGCATTTTGAAGACCAGCCTGGGAGCTGGCGGGGCCTTGGCGCCAGCCATCTTCTTTGGGCTTTGGGGGCAACGGCCTCCAGAGAACATCCTGGGCCACTGAAGCTGCAAGTCCCCCAGGTCCAGGCTATTCCAGGATCCTTCCTCGGCGGTTCCAAGATGATTTGGATGATGTTCCACCCTTTTTTGGGGATCATGATCTGGAATTGACTGCTGTTATTTTTGGTCTGGGGTCTTGGATCCAGACTTTGAAGCGCTGCAGGGCAGGCATAATTCATGCTGTGACATGATGTATTACACTCTTGCAGGTTTGATCAACTTCCACTGGTGTTTCATGTCCCATAGGTTCAACTCTTTCCAGAATGTTCTTGGGTCGAATGTGCAAGCCATTTAACATCATTTAAATGCAAACTGCTTGGGGGACGTGTCAAAGGTGTGTGGTGCACCCACGCCATGATTGCCGCGCTGAGGCATGAAGCTGTTCCCAGCCTTTGCCAGCTGCACACTGGCCATTGCAGTCATATCAATGACATATGCAGTCGATGCGCAGCCTGGTTGGTCTCCCAAAGAAGGTGCACACATGTTGTTGTCAGTTGTAAGTCGTGAGGCGGTTTCCACTTGTAATTAATGACAGAATGAGATGGAAAGTGGAAACCATGTCTTCATATTTGTTCTATGTTGATATACTTTGCACCGGTTCCACTGACCCAGCGCAACCGTGATCGGTTGTTTTGCAAAGACAAGTTAAAAAGTTGTTTTTCAAAGTGTACAGCGCATTGGGATCATGTTGGGGCAGCTGTAGGCTTGAGGCAGATAACAACGTGTTCACTTGTCAGCCTATACAATTCACTTGTATGAAAGGCTTTGCAGATGTATCATGATGTATCATTTATGTTTGCTTGCACATATAAATGTATACACATGGGTCTGGGTAGATATATATAATATACACATATTTGTTTGCATATAATTATGCACATTAGTACACATATACATATGAATATACAGATAGATACACGTATATGCACATATATATATATGCATATTGCATATATAGTGCGTGTCATAAAGTCAAACAATGACATGACATGTCCATTGTCATGTCACCTGTGTCATCCTTGATTCCGGCCACATTTGGCCGCAGGAAGAACCTTCAGCCTACTTGCACTTGCCATGGTCCTTATCACAGGGACGGCGACGGCAAACAGCTTCGTTCCACTGGGAGAGACTCGGCACTAAAGTGGTGCTGTGTGCCCAGGATTGCCAAGGTGTTATGGTGACCTGACCACCATATCATCATCATCGTCATCATCATCATCACCACCATGATCACATCGTCATGATTAGTCAGCACTATCACCCGACTGGCTGAAGGAGTGCAGATGAAGGAGCTGCCCTTTCCCCCAACAATCCCTCAGGCTGCGAGCGATGCTTTGCTGGCCGCTACTGTTTCACTGCTGCTGGCCCTGTTCCTTGCGCTGGCGTGCGTGGAAGACAAGCAGCTCCCTGCCAATGAGGTGTCGCAGGACAGAAGTCCCATGCGCCTTGCTGAAGGTTCAACAGACCATGGTGGATTTGGCTGGTGGTTTCGGATGATCGTGGAAGGGGTTGAAACATGTTGAAACCACAAAAAGGTTAAAGAATGCTCGACATCCTGCAGCGCATGGCCAGAGAATGGGCCAGCACTTGAATCCACGTATCCATTCATGAGGTGACCCATGGCTCTTCCACTCGTTTCTGTTTCCAGCACAGATCTGTTTATAAGAAAGACCAGGCTGTTTATAGCGCTGGTGATATCGAAGAGTTGCCATGTGAGAAGCCTACTTGGGATGATTATACAAGTGTGCATATATATATATATAAATGTACATTATATATACATATATAATGACATCATATGACATCAATGGGCTTTTAAAAAATGAATAGATAGATCGATCGATCGATCAACCAGATAAATAGCTATATAGACAGAGAGAGATATATAGATAGAGAGAGATAGAGAGAGAGAGAGACAGAGATAGATTGATAGATCAATAGATCGACAGATCGACAGATCGATGGATAGTGTACAAATAGACAATTTTTTTTCATCAGTAACAGTCATGCCGCCATGCCCTTTTTAGAGAGACAGACATGGGATGGCTTGTTTGGCGACCACCAGCCGCCACCGCGCTGGTGACCCAATGGCCCAGGCACATCAAGGTGCAGCAGGCCAGCAAAACCTTGGAATTCTGGACATTTGGCGCTGATGAAATTGCGATGGAGTTGTCCAGAAAATGGAGGTAAAAACCATAGAAAATGCTATGTTTTTACTAAATGGCAACCAAGATTTTGCCAAAGATTTACCCAAACTTATGGCACTAATGAATCAGGAAAGTTATGGTGAAAATTATGCTGATTTGCTGTAATTATAGCTTTCTGAGGAGAAAATGTAGAAACAAGATGAACCGAGGCATTTTAAAATAGTGGTATAGTAGTAGTGGGAAATATATAAAAACAAATGCTGTCAAACAATTCCAGTAAATAAAACTGTGCGGGAATGATGAAGGATTTTGCGGGGTCAGGTACCATGATAAGATTGTTGAACGAGGTCATGGCATGTTGGCGTGCAAACTTTAAATGACCTGCGCCGTTTTGCCAACACTTCCTTGAATCCAAGGATGTACACCGTGGTTTTCAGCACCGCAGCTGGTTCTGGCCAACTGGTGTTCACCAATCTTTCACAGATGGCAGAGGCCATTGGCTGTTCCTCACAAAGTGAGGCTTTGCTGTGCAGTTTTTCGTTCTGCGGCTTGGCGAAGTCGGCGGGTAGCCAGGCCTATGCGAAATAGTAAGCTCGTAGTGACAGCAACGGGATGCTATGCCATGCTATGGCTATCTATGGCTTATACTTAATGTGGTGCAATGTGATGCAGTGTGGACGAAAAGCAGAAGAAACCACCAGCGAAATCGTGTTTATGGCTTGTATGAAAGGCTCTCCTACGTTCCTTCCTTCACTCATGGGGGTGCATTCAATCGTTGTGAGAGTGCAATGTCGCTTAGCCAGTCAGATTGATGAGGAGTGCCGCACAAGGGTTGGTATATCGACATTTTTTGATTCTTTGAGACAAGAAGATTAGATCAGATATACAAAAAAGAAACATCCGCTATATGCAAGGAAATCTGGCGTACGAATAGGAATGTCCCAACGAGTCTTGACGAGATTCGAAGAATATTCAAATTCAAATGCAAATGAATGCGGACAATATATCATAATTTGTCAGAAAGAATGCGCATAGACATAGAATGACATAGACATGTAGGGAGCAATCTTATGTGAGTAATTATTCAAGAGGGGAGGGGATACATTGAGCATCCACTCCAGATCAACTGCCACTGCTGCTAAGGTAACATGTTGGGACGGCTGAGCTTCGGCATGGCCTGTGATATCTTACAACATCGCAGGGCATCCAGGACCCTTTTATTCGACGCTTGGGCATGTTCCGACAAGCACAAAAGAGACAAGTGTTTGTTGAGCTATATGTGTCTCTGTGGGGTGGTATGGTGGATGCCTGATTGACAATTGTGGTCTGTGGCCATGCCATCCATGGTCTGAGTGGGACCCAGGTAGCCTCCACACTCTTGGCAACTGTTGGCCAGCTATTGCTGCATGCTGCGGCCCTTCAAGAAAATGTTTCCCAGCTGCAGGTGTTGGGCATCATGATCAATAAATTCGCAAGTTGAGCCGCCCGTGAAAACGGCCAAGACTCGCAGAGCCCAAGCCTGCACAGAGTAAATCGTGAAGCTCAGCTAATGATTTTAAGTGAAGTGACATATATTATATATGTGTATAATTACCGCCGTTGTTTTACTGTTTTTTTGCGAGTATAGGGAGATATCTAAAGATATCAAAAGGTATTGTACCGGGCCCCAATCAGCTGCCAAGGTTGTCCTCCTTTTTGTCGGGGTTTGCTGTGTGGGGCTGCAATTTGGCGGGGCCTTTCCCACTCTTGCCCCTTGGCGGGGATTGGATACGGTGGTGGTTTGTCGGGAGGTTTTGCCAAGAAATGTTGGGGAAAGTAGGATGGAGATCCTTGATATTGGTCGATAGTATAGACATGTATAGTCTATACAGCCGTATAGGCATAAACCATAGAAGATTCGGATACAACCAATCAATATGGAAAGATTTTAAGCCATAGATGCTGGATATAGAAACTTGACTCAACAAGATCAACAAGTCGTGCTGGCTTTGTGGGAAGCAAATTCTTAATTTCTTGGATTTTGAGCGGCTGAATGATGGGGCTAGCAATTTCGGAAGTTTCACCAGGCTTTTGGTCCCTTCGCTACAGTAGGCTTCCAGAAACTCTGATCATCCATGATCATCCCAGCTACAATGTTGTAGTCGTGGTTGACCAATCAGCCGATATCAGCCGAGTTCTTTTCCGGCTAAACATCGGCAGGATTCGGTTGGTGGCGTTGATTTGTGTCTTGTTTATCCTTGCCAGGTCAATGTATGTGCAGCACGCTATGGTCGAGCGACCTTGAATGGCAACTGGACATTTATGGATGCTGCAACTCGGCATTGAGGGCAAATGAGGGCATTGAGAGGGCACAAGCAAAAGTAGCCAGTATTTACTTGTCATTGATCGACAGTAATGTATAGGTTGAGGCACTAATAACACATGACAACAGTGGCTAAGGAATGTGAAAGGCAACCAAGCGAACACACCACCTGCAGGAAAGAAGTCTTGGCAAAGGCTAGTTTGAAAGTTGAAACAGTGGAGGGTCAGTTGCCCAGATCACAGACGCGGAGCTGGATGATCTACATTTAAACTGTAGGGTAGAACGCCCTTGAGTTAGCTTCAGGAGTTGGCAAAACATTTGGCTTCAATCGCCATTGCAGAATAACTACACCTAAAGATTATGCAGCAAGAGGCTTCACTAATGGAACAGTTCAGCTTCACCGGCCCCGTGCCATCTGACGTTACTGAGAGCAAAAACCAAGGTGGGAAATGGAACTGCATCTCTGGTTTTTGGTAGCTACCTTGGCAGTGTTGCTTACGACCGCCATGCTGGTAGTGATCACCACTGCTATGGGCCGAACTGCTTTGCGCTGCCTCATCTCATTATGGCCGTCATTTGCTGCTTGGAAGAAATTTAATATACTATATCCGGCCGGAGATTAGAGACCCCTAAAGTTAATCCATTGATTCTGGCTTGGCACAAGGAGAGTTCTGATCAAGCCCGGGACGTCATTCCACTAGGGTTGTTGTGAGGGATCCTTTTAGCTGCTTCGTGCACCTAGGAAAGATGAAAGATGTTTAGATCAGCCAAAAGCTGAGCTGATTTCGTAACATGCTCCACCAAGTAGCTTCAATTCCACCTCCGAGGTGCTTGCAGGACCATCATCTCCATCCTTTTGATTTACTTGCATCCGCGTAACCGGCAGATTCGACACTCCTTGTCATCACTCTCAGCATCGTGTAGCATTGAGGAGCCCATGGTCAGTTTCGACATTGATGCGAGCACAACTGCTGGAGCCAATTCTTCCGCTTCAGTTGGTGTCAGTGAGACACTGTAGGGAAGTAGGGAGCAAACTTGGCAAAGCCTGATTTGCTATTAAAATTAGGATTTCAGATCTTGCCTTTTAACGAAAATATTTGATTATAGTTATATTATACATATATATATACGATAATATATATATATAATATTTTTAAAAAATAGTTTTCAATATCATTATGTATCATATATCTTATCTCATATGAATGACCGACAATAATTATCTAAAAATAACATGATCTCATAAAATGTAAGAAAACCTTCACAACCGATAGGGGACCACTTACCGATACCCTATTTTTACACAGCATGGAAGTGCAAACCTTCACAACCGATAGGGGACCACCCACTTTGGCCATGTCCATTGCGAATATAATAGATAATTTTCTTCACCATTCATATCATGCATATTTATATATCACATATCAAGTATTACAAATCACATATCATATATCATGCACCATAAGTTATAAAGTTTATATTATAAATTGAGCAGCGTTCTCAATTCCTCTTTGCATGTTTAGTATTGGGCTGGCATAAATTCTGTCAAGTGGTAAGACTTTGCCAGGGTTTCGTAAGCAGTGCGAAAGGTTTGACGTAAGCATTGATCAGAAACATATTGCGGTAAGCCGTTCGGAAGATCATGTCCGGCTATGGGAGCTGAGGTTCAAATAAGGTTGTGTGACTCATTTGGTGCATGTTATGAATGTTGATGATGATGCATTGTACTATATACATAGGATAAGCAGGCGAGAATGCCACTTTCTTCACGGTATAGTGTTTTATGAGATCTAAATTTGCCGTAAGCTCGGCGTAAGCAATCCATAAGCTAGTCGTGAGCGAAGGTTGCATTCACTGACCCCTAGCCCTGGTTCCTTTGCAATTGAATCTACGTTTAGGTTTTCTCTACCCACCTACGCAAGTGAGCACAGCCACTATTCAAGGCTGCCTCTGCCGTATGCGTACCTTTCACACTCCCCCCAACCCGCTGGCCTCACCTTGGCAGCAGGTTGCACTAGAGATCATATAACAGCTTAAGTTCAATTTTCCTCTGCCAAGGTTGCTAACCTGGCTGCGGCAACTTGCAGGTTCTTGTGTGGGAAATCTCCTTTTCATCCCTGGCTGCAAAGCCCCGCATCCCCAGTCCCAGGTGATGGGCAGGCTATGCAAACCTTCCCTTTAGTTCAGCCTTCCACCTGGCCCTAGCCAAGGTTTCTGGCTTTACCAAGGTTCAGGCACGCCCATACGACGCCACGCTACGATGCACAGTGGCCAGCAAGGACCAATCATTGCCTTTCCCGGCGGGAGCATCAGACTCAGAACTTACGTTTAGGTTTTCTTTACCCACCCAGACACGTGAGCGCAAGCACTATTCAAGGCTGCCTCTACCCATGTGACGCGTGCACCTTAAGAGCTGCGCACATCCATAACAGAATAACAGAATAACAGAATCATTATATATCCCCACGTCGAGAGCTCGTAAAAACCCCGCGCCTATTCGTTTGGTCTTCCATGATCCCCCATGAGCCATTTTTGACTTTCACTCGAAAAAACGATTAGAGGAAAAACACGATAACGTTGGTTATGTTAATGATACGTGTCCAGACTCTTGAAATCCAAAGTTCTTCATGTTTCCATCATTCAGCGGCTATTTAATGCTTTTGGTCTCTTCCGTTCATTGTTTGTTGTTGCAATGGCGCAGGTTCTGCACAAGGAAGGTGCCTGGTAGGTGGTCGCTACACTCCTTTTTTGATGATTGCAGCCATTTCCAGAAAAAAGGAACACACACACACACAGGATTCACGAACGAAAACGAAAACGATAACTTTTGGCATTAGAAATGGTCCGTATGAGTAGACACTGCCTTTATTCCTTTTCCTCTCCCTTTCCCTTCCTTTTCCTGTCTCTTCCTTTA